TGTGTGGTGACCCCCCCAACCACTGCCATAGGGGCTCCTCACCTGGACTCCTTCCTCGTGTCCCCTCAGTTGGCTATTCACTTGCATATTGCACAATGAACTGCACAGTGTTAAGTAAAAATTGCAGGTCGTTGTGGACCAGGCTCCTGAGATACACTAACGTTCACTAGCCCAAAACTAAACTGGTGTCTGACTTCCCAAGAAATCAGGAGGAAGATAAGAGCTGGATTTCCCCACAGGCAGCTTCAGCTGCTGGGATAATGGTGCCCTTTTTGCTTTGAGCCTTATCCAAGATAGGTAATCTGAAGTGACCCAAATATTAATCATATTTGGGTCTTTCTAGTCTTGCATCTCTCAGCTTGATGCCTTGCCCGGAGAGCAGTCTGATACAAGAAATTTACTTTTGTTCTTTATTTTACCTATTTCAGATCTTTTAGCCTATAGGACAGTGGTTCTCAACCTGTGGGTCACCACACCTGGGGGCAAATGACTTGTACACATGGGTTAAAATGACCCTTTCAGAGGGTTGCCTAAAACCATCAGAAAACACAGATATTTACATTATGGCTTATAACAGTAGCAAAATTACAGTTATGAAGCAGCAACAAAAGTAGTTTTATGATTGGAGTCACCACAACATGAGGAACTGTATTAAAGGGTCGCAGCGTCAGGAAGGTTGAGAACTGCTGTTACATGATCGAGCCCCGCTGCTGAGCCTTATTAAAACACTTCTTCGGAATGAAGTGTTGCCTGATCCTAGGACTGAAAATTAACCTGCTGGGGCTGTAGCTCAGTCAGCAATTGTCTGGGATTCACAGAGCACTGGTTTTGACTCCTAGCACTTCAGAAAATCAGGCGTGGCTGTGTGCACTTGTGATTCCATTGTGTAGAGGTGGAGGTAGGAGACTGGAAGGTCAGGTTTATCCTGGCGAGGTGATTGATAGGCCCAATCTACAATTTTTGTCTCATTGAATGGCAATGTCAAACTGCATTCTAAATATTTCTGTTTATACCCATACATCCTTTCTTCCCTTAAGCTGCTTTTGGTTAGAGTTTTATCAAAGCAACAGAAAGGAAACAAGAATAGTGCATTGTTGAAGGAAAAGGAGACAGAGAAAGGGGAGCAGGAGTGAGGAGGGAATGAGGGAGGAGGAGGAGGAGGAGGAGGAGGAGGAGGAGAAATGAAGTTGGGGGGACACTGTAATGCACATTATATTGGGAATTTATCGTGTACTGTCTGAGCTCACTGAGAACCCAGCTCTGCACATGGGCCTATGCTCCCTGGCTGATTTCTGCTGGATGTTATGTGTGTCCAGGTAGAGGATGTTTTGCTAATTTTCTATATCATCTCTTCATGTATGTATGCATAAATCACTTAGATATCCATCCATATCTATCTATGTATCTATCAATCATCTATCTATCTATCTATCTATCTATCTATCTATCTATCTATCTATCTATAATTTACCTATTACTTACTCTTCATTCTTTTACTTAAAAAATAAGTTCACTCATTCAAAATCCCAAATATGATGATCATAGATCATTGTCTGGATCATTTGAAGAATTTCTTTTGTTTTGTTTTGTTTTTGCCTTTTGAGTTTTAGGGGTATTGGAGAAGGGAGAATAGGAGACAGATATAGTAAAAATGTATGAAATTCTCAAGGAATAGCGTGGGTTTTTTTTTATTTTTTAATGAAAGCACCTCTCTCAGCTAGGTGGTTGTGTATACCTTTAATCCCAGCACTTGGGAGGAAGGGGCAAGTAGATCTCTGTAAATTTAAGGTCAGCCTGTTCTACATAGTCAGTTTCAGGACAGCTGGAGCAACACAATGAGACCCTGTCTAGAAAAACAACAACAACAACAAAACAAAACCAAAAAAACTAATCAACTAAACCAAACTGAAAACCTAACACATTTTTTAAAAAGAAGAAAAGAAAAAGAAAAAAGAAAATGCCTCACTCACAAAGTTTTTGTCTCAGCTTGAGGCAAAAAATAAAAAAATAAAATACCCCCCCTCCTTTTTCAGAGATCACTTTTGTTTGGATGATTTTTAAAAAGAGGATGTGAAATTGGGGTCTAGAGGAAAGGGAGGGGGTGGAGGAGGTAGTGGGCGGATGCCATCCAAGGACATTGTATACATGCATAAAACTTTCAAATAATAAATAAAACAGTCCCAGCACTAATCATGCTGATTACCTGGCACGAGAGCCTTCAGAATCCAGGGCCCCAAAGCCCGTGATAAGTCTTTAGGTTCTAGGAAGGCTGGATATTTGTATAGAATTGCAATTGTACTAAGGGGCATGATGTAATGGGAATAGTGACGGAGGGGTGGGAATCCAGCCAGGCCTGTCTGTTCAGCTTCTTCTTGGCTTCTCTGTGTGACTTCCCTTTCTCCAGTGCACGGAACAGCATCTTCCTAAAAGAAAGGGTAGAACCTTGTGATCTACTACCACACAAGGTAGGCCAGAGAATTTCTTGGTGGCCAAGTCACTGAAGGTGAAGAACTTTGAATGACATGGGAGTCATGGGTGGCTTTGGGAGGAAAGGTTCTAGTTTCTGGAATTCATCTTGAAAAAGAAAGATATTTTCTTTATCTTGCCTTGGAGAAAAGGCATGGGGTAGGGGGCAAGAAAAATGAGGGAAGGAGGGCAGAGAGAGACTTGGTCTCAGATCTTTCCGTGTAACTTAGTTCAAAGTACCCAGCTTGCCAAAGTGTCATACTTAGGGGTTATTGTTTTCTCTAAAAATGGAGGCAGTTGTTCTTTCCCTGTGTGCTTGCGTGTGACCCAAAGGATGCCTGCATGGAGTGTATGTGTGTGTGTGTGTATGTGTGTCTGTAAGGATCAGCATTAGAAATGATGATTTTTTTTCCGTTATTATAGCTACCTTTGTTCAAGCTATTATATCCAATGCCTTTATCTATCTGGTAGTCCCTTCTCCTAAACTCTCTTCAACTCCAGTTGGAGAAGAAACTAGAGAAGTGTACAGGAAGGAGGCTAGTGGGCAGATAACAAGGTCAAAGCCAGTTACAGACAAAAGGCAAACCAGAAGCTACGGAAGGATGCCTTCATAGGCCCTAACACATTTAAAAGTCAGACCTTCCAAAATGGGTGCTGGAAAGAGAACGATAGTGACAGAAGTGAGCGGGTATGGACCACTGAACCCCATATTTTCCTGTAAACTGAGCCCCAGACTATAAAAGACATACAAACGTCTCTATGGCAGTGGTTTCTTAATCTATGGGTCAAGATCTAGTTGGGGGAGGGGTTGCCTAAGACCATCTGAAGACACAGATATTTACATTACAATTCGTAACACAATTACAGTTATGAAGTAGAAACAAAAGTAGCTTTGGGGGGGGGTCACCACAACATGAAGAGCTGTATTAAAGGGTCACAGCATCAGGAAGGTTGAGAAGCCCTGCTCCAGGGGATAGGAAGCTCCAGGTATTAGCAGAGAAGATGTGGCGGAGAAAATGGCACCCTGTTCTGTCCTTTCTGGACTGACTGGTAGGATGCCACTTTCCCTTCAGCATCTAGACCAGGGTGTAAGGTCCAAAAGCACAAGGCCACAGGACAGCTGGCTACAAAGGGCTGCCTGGTTTTCAAGAGGCTGTATACAACTATGTACAACGCAAGGTTACTTGGTTTCCGCTCCTTCAGGGCCATCTATTCTGTCCAATACAGAAATGTTCACTGCTCTCCCATTCTGTGTCAGGAGGGCCCTGAGGGAGAACAGGCCTGAGTTCTTGGTCCTCACTGGGGGTTTTCCCTGGCATTTAAAGATGCTGAGACCAGCCAGGTTGTGGTGGTGCACACCTTTAATCCCAGCTCTTCCAAGACAGAAGCAGGTGGGTCTCTGTGAGTTTAAGGCCATCCTGGTCTACAGAGTGAATTCCAGGACTGTCAAGGCTACACAGAGAAACCATGTTTAAAAACAAAAAACAAAAAAAACCCAACCGACCAAACAAACACAAAAGATGTTGATACCTGGGTCCCTCCCCAGGGGCGCTGGCTGAATTAATTCAAGATACATTCTAGGCATCAGGGCTTAAGGCATTCCACTCTGGGATCTGAGGTTAGAACTAGTGCTGCCTTGCTCACTCATGTTCTCTGAGGACCCTTTGCTAGGTGGCAGATGTATAGGGATGATTGCTCTCAGGAGCATTTCATCTCTTGATATTTGATTCCATTGTGATCCCCCAAATTGTGAACTGTAAATGTTGTTTCTTTGGTTTGGTTGAGCCTTATCGCACACCTTTAATCCAAGAGCTTTCTGTTTATCGTGAACAGGTGATTATGGTATGGTTCACTTAGCCCTAGCACACACCTTTAATCCAAAAGCTCTCTGTACACTGGGTCTAATAAATTAACCCTAGGTCAAGAGGTGGAGCTGGAAACCAGTTGACAGAGATTAAAGAATAGGAGGGACTTAGGTTGAGGGGTATTTTAGACAGTGTGGAGAAGAAAGGATGGTTAGCTCATGCTCTGGCTTTAGCTTAGGCTTCTGCTCCTCAGCTCCCTGGCTTTTTGGGCTTTGAGCTAGCAAGCCTTAGGCCTTGGTTTTTTTGGCCTTTTGTTCCTGGGGTGGCAGCTGAGCTAGTGAGCCTTTTGGGTTTTTTCCATCCAGATCTGAGCTGAGAAGGAAGGTCAGCTGGTTGCTTTCTCTGCCTCTCTGAGCCAGCAGGTTTTCACCCCGGCATCTGGCTCCTGAGATTTTCCTCATTGTTTATAACAACAGGGAGGGGTGGTTACTATAGAGTAAGGACAGAATCATGTCCTTCTCTCAGGTCAGCCTGAGAAGACTAATGGAGGGACTCTAGGTGCTGCTGCCTGGATGGAAACTAGCTACTGTATAGAACTGGTACCCTCCTGTTCACAGCGCTCAAACAGGAGCTCTGAGAGTGTTTCAACTCCGTATCTCCAGTCCTAAGCCTGATGTGGACTCAAGTTCATGAACATTTGCTTTCCCTGCCCTCTCTTCTCTGCCAAGCTGAGTTGCTATTCCAGGTACAACCTCCGATCAATTCTGCAAATATTATGGGAAATCTATTCTCTGATAAGCACCATACTAGGAACCTGGAGGCATGTGATAATTGTTCTGTTTATCAACATCATTCTTGGAATGTTAACACTGAACAAGTTATTGTTTCTCCAAAGTTCAGGCGCTCGGTTTGCAAAATGTGATCTTAACAAGGCCTGTGTGGAAAGACTGAAATGCCAGTGAGTCAAAACTGTTAGAATAGAGGTTCTCAACCTGTGGATCACAACCCCTTTGGGAGTTGAACAACCCTTTCACAGGGGTCTGCATATCAGATATTTACATTACGATTCATAACAGTAGCAAACTCACTGTTATGAAGTAGAAACAACAATAACTTTAAGGTTGGGGGTCAGCACAACATGAACTTTATTAGAGAGGTTGAGAACCACTGACTTAGAAGGATGCCGGGCCTGGTTAGGTGCTTAATAAATAATAGCCAAGATTGTTTTTAAAATTATTATTCACCCCAGTCTGAACATTTGTGTTCTCTTGCAGTTCACGACTCCCCAACAGAGGGACTTGGAGGTGATTAAGGTGAGATATTCATCTCCTCGTAGAGCAGTCCAAGGGAGCCTGTTTGCCCTTACTGTTGTGTGATGTCACAACTAGGAGGTGCTACCTCTGAAGTAGAGTGAGCCCTCAGCAGACGAGGAGTCTCACAGACACATTCATTCATCTTGTTTCCCCAGTGGCAGACTGTGAGCGATACATTTCTGTAGTTTCTAGACTACTCAGTGTAGAAGACTTTCTTTTCCAGCCCGAAAGGACTAAGGCATGATTATAATTCCTGCCACCACAGTAAACAAAACACCTGCAGCCTTCATGCTGATACTCTGATGGACAGAGGGACTGGGAAAACAAGCAGTTTGCATGGCATGGTACATATTAATCTATGTGGACCTGGATGCTGAGGCACCGTGGAAATATTTGGCTGTGGGGGCTGGCCAGGACTGGGAAGTGTGATAGTATGAGTGAGCATGGCCTCTGTAGGCTCACGTATTTGAATGCTTGGTTCCCAGTTGGTGGACTGTTGGGAAAGGTCAGAAGGTGTGGCTTGTTGGAGGAGGTGTGTCACGAGGGGTGGGCTTCGAGGTTTCAAAATCCCACACTAGGCCTAGTCTCTTCGTGAGTCTACTGCCTGTGGATCAGCACCATGCCTACCTGCCTGCCACCATGCTACCCACCATGATGATAAGGGACTAGTCCTCTAAAGCTGTAACCAAGCCCCCAGTTCAATGGTCTCCTCTATAAGTTGCCTTGATCATGATGTCTCTTCACAGCAACAGAACAGCAACTAAGACAAAGAAATAATGGCTTAGATGAGACCAAGAAATGTCTAATGCAATTATCAGATATGGGAGGAATTTGGAAGAGAGGCACAAACACTGTTTAGTTTAGGTGACAAAGGACCAGCCCTGGAGAGCAGAAAGGTGAAAAGGACAGAAAGACACAGGGCTGGGGTCATGGAAGCCATGAAACCGATTGTGGATTATTCTCTGACCCAGTGATACTATGCCTAATTCATAGGCAAGAATAATGGACATGTAAGTCCACAAAAAGACTTTTATATGAATACTCATACCTTTTTTTCATAATGGCTAACTACTAAAAACAAATATATGTTAACTAATAGAACCCATAAACAAATTATATGACATCCCAACCATCAAATTAAACCGTAAGCTATTCTAAAAAACACTATGCTAAATATAAACTATATAAAATGAATAAAAGACTGCATACTATACTATTCCATTTAAATAACATTTTGTAAGACAGATTAGACTTTCCTGGGAAATGGAGTATGTATGTGTATCACTGGGTCAGAGAATAAGTGTATCTTTATTGTGATAAGAAACTGCCAGGTGTTTTGTTTTTAGAAAGTTATGTAGAGTAGGTTGTTGCATAAAATAAAAAGGTCTAACAGATCTTATTATTAAATAGTCTATAATTATCATGGCGGTTTTACCTAACCCGCTATCATAATCAATAAAAGGCACAGACACCTGTTGTATTTTAGAACAAGCCTCATTTTACCTGGTGCTGGGCAGGTAGTTCTACCCCAACTATCTCGTTATCTCCCAGCCTCCATCCCATGCCATTTGCTTTAATCATTTCTATCTGAGCTACCTCCCATCCGTAATTCCATAAATACTTGTTTAATCTTCTCATCTGGGCTGCTCTCTCGCATCCCTGCTGATCCAGCCATGCGTTTCTCTCCAGCTAACCCACAGGGTCTTTCTCCTCCCTCCCTCTGGGATCTCTCTCTCTCTCCCACGTTCCTTCGGTCCGCAAAGCCTGTGAGCGTTGGCTCTGCCCCTTCCTTCTGCCCTGCCCATGTGCAGGCCTTTGATTTAGCCAATCGGGAAATACTTTCTCAAGCAAGGTTATAAATGTCATTTTGGGGTACATAAGTGTCAGCAAGCAGACCTCAGGGAGCAATATAGTTAACAATCAAATACAAAGCACCGGGCCATGCTGTTACAGTAGGTATTATTTCTTTCCTAGGTGAAGGTTGCGTTCCAGTTTCCTGATTAGGTGCTCTCCGGCTTATTTTGTGAGACAGGGTCTCTCACCATGATGGTCTGAATGGTAATGGCACCCATAGGCTTTGGACACTTGGTTGTAGTAATGTCTAGTGCAGTGGTGCAGACATTGGAAGATGTATGCCACTGGGGACGGTTTTGAGGGTTTGTAGCCTCACCCGTTTACTTTTGCTTTCTGTTTTGTGTTTACAGTTGAAGATGAGATTTCTTAGCTTCCTATTTGGGTCTTTTGATGACGTTTTTCCCCGACTCTGGAACTGGAACCCCTAAATAAATTCTTCCTTAAGTTACGGTGTTCATGGTGTTTTTTCACAGCAACAAAAAAGTAACTTTGCCGGCCCACGTGGCCAGCATGGTCCAGTGAGGCCTCTTTTCCTGCATCTCTCCTTTGCCCCAGTGCTGCCCTGTGGGTGCTGGCATACAGACTCAGGTGCTCAGGCTTGCCTGGCAACAACTGTCCTGAGTCACTGCCCTGCTCCTTACGCCATTCTTATCCTTGTCAATTCTGCAGCTGGAACCCACGGAGTACAATATAATTAATCTATTTGACAGTAAGTGCGTGGCCGGGAAAAGCTTGGGAGTTGTAGCACTGCAGAAGGCATTGTAGACTGCGGGCTTAAAATATTTTGTTGAGAATGACAAATTTTTTAATGGGAGGGAGGAAGAGAAAGAGTTGTTCAGAGGGACTTGTGATAAAAATTTTCCCAGAAAGTATTGGAAATGCCAAAGGAAAAGGCAGAATTTATGACCATGGTGTCTAGAGAGCTATTTGCAAAGATTTATTTTAATTTTGTGTGAGCGCATGTGTGTATGCGCGTGCACAGGAGCCCACTGAGGGCAAAAGAGGGTGTTAAATACCTCGGAGCTGGAGCTACAGGTAGCTGTGAGCCATCCTACATGGGTCCTGGGAGCCAAATTCTGAAGAGATGTGTATGCACTACGTGTATGTTTCACAAGGAACAAGACTTCAATGTTTGCCTCAGAATTTTTGGCATACAGATACTCACGTACTTCTTGTCTGGGAGCATATTAAACTAAAACAGGAAAGGTCTGGTTTCCTCCAAGAATATTCTTACAGGCCTAAGTCACAACACTTGGCTTCCTCAGCTGCTCCTGTAAAGACCTGGGTTCAGTCCCCAGCGCCTCCTGGGTGGCACACACCCATTTGTTACTCCAGAGGATCGGATCCATCATGTGACTCCTGTAGGCACTAGGCCTCATGCTGTTTACACACATACATGCGGATAAAACACTCATGCACATAAAATAAATAAGTCTTTAAAACGTTTGGGCTAGCACTCGCAATTTGAATGACCTATTTTAAGAGCAACTTTCTCTCCCACCTTCTTCCCCATGTAAAATGTTACCTTTGAACACACTACCGTTAGGAGACCAGTCTGCTGACAAGTACAGAACCACCTGATTAGTGAACGTTAGCTTCGTTTTGCTTACATGTGAGGCAGGTGTTTTTTGTTTTTTTCCCCCAACAATCATCAAAGGGTGGTTACAGAGACAGGTAGATAGACGATAATGTGTTGGTGGAGAGAGAGTGCAGCCATCATGTAAAGGACAGATAGGTGTTTTAAGACTACCTCTCCTTATGGTGAAGCAGGGGCTGTGTCACCTTACCACGCTAAGATATCAGAAAAGCCCACACTCATAAGTGGTCATTTGGCTTTCCTTTTGAGAAGACATGTGCAGCTTACCCTGCGGTGTGTGGAGGTGATAGCGGTTTGTGTGACCTGCTCTTTTGGCTCTGCCTCATGTTTTCAACTAAAGTTAGTCTCATCTGTGATTGGTTGATGTGGTTCGGTCGCTTCTCAGAATTCCATGACTAAACTAGGAACGGCATTTGTTGTTGATTGATACGCATTTCAGCATCACAGCAGACTTTGGTCTTTGTGAACGTGTCTGGAAAGTCAAATATATCTAGAGGCCTACGGGCTAATGACACCATCAACTGGAGGTTATGGAACAGAAGTTGGAGGTAATTCAAATGAGAAGAAAACTAGGCTGTGTGTGTGTCTTTGTGTGTGTGTCAGTGTCTCTGTGTATGAACTTACGTGCATGCCAGTTCAAGCGTGTGGAGCCGGAGGACAACCTCTGGTATCATTCCTTGAACACTGTCAATTTTGTCATGTTTTTAAATTTTTTATTTTATTTTTATTAATTACAGTTTATTCACTTTGTATCCCAACTGTAGCCCCCTATGCCATCCCCTCCCAATCCCACACTCCCTCTCTCTTCTTCTCCCATGCCCCTCCCCCAGTCCAATGATAGGGGAGGTCCTCCTCCCTTTCCATCTGACCCTAGCCTATCAGGTCTCATCAGGACTGGCTGCAATGTCCTCCTCTGTGGCCTGGTAAGGCCTGCAATGTCCTCAGGGGGAGCTGATCAAAGAGCCAGCCCATGAGTTCATGTCAGAGATGGTCCCTGTTCCTATTACTGGGGAACCCTCTTGGACACTGAGTTGCCATGGGCTACATCTGTGCAGGGGTTCTAGGTTATCTCCATGCATGGACCTTGTCTGGAGTATCAATCTCAGAAAAGACCCCTGTGCCCAGATTTTTTGGTTCTGTTGCTCTCCTTGTAGAGCTTCTATTCCTTCCAGGTCTTTCTATCTCCTCCTTCTTTCATAAGATTCCCTGCACTCTGCCCAAAGTTTGGCTATGAATCTCAGCATATGTTTTGATACCCTGCAGGCAGAGTCTTTCAGAGGCCCTCTGTGATAGGCTCCTGTCCTGTTTCCTGTTTTTTCCTTCTTCCAATGTCCGTCTGATTTGCCTTTCTGAATGAAGACTGAGCATCTTGCCCAGGGTCTTTTTTGATAAACTTCCTTAGGTGTACAGATTTTAGTATGACTATCCTACATTATATGTCTAATACTCACCTTATACCCATCAGAATGGCTAAGATCAAAAATTCAAGTGACAACACATGCTGGAGAGAATATGGCAAACCTTGTCATTTTGAGACAGGGATTCTCATGGGCATGGGGCTTGCCAGTTAGGCTAGTCTGGGTGGCCAGTGAGCTCCGAGGATGCCCTTGTCTTTGCCTCCCAGTACTGCAATTGCTGTGGGTGCTACCGTGCCTTTTTTTTTTTTTTTTTAAATGTGCTCTGAGGATCAGACCCAGGTTCTAGAGCTTACAAGGCAAACACTTTACTAACTGAACAACTTTTCCAGCCTGGGAAGGAGGAAGCTTAATAGCTCATTCAAGCCCTCTCCCACCTTTTCATGATACTAACGAGAAAAGAAAAGTTTGGAAAAAATTTCGTGAGATGGCTAAAACCCTTACTGGGTAAAACCCTTGCTGTATAAACTGACAAGCAGGGTTTGATCCCTGGAACCCACATAAAGGTGGAATGAGGGAGCTGACTCCTCTGACATCCAATCTCGCACCATGAAATGTGCACTGATGTCCCTTTAAACAACAACAAAACGAACTCTTAATATCTACTGAGGGTCTTGACCAAAGTCCCCTCTTCCGTGAAGCTGGCTGAGATCCTCCAACGTGGTTCAAATGATGCCGCCCAGGTGTCTGCAAAACTTCACCCCCTGTTGGAATTGTCCATAGAGGGAGCCCCTCGCACTGCCCTGACACCTTCTTAAGCAGTGAACCTAAGAGCCCGGGACACTGGAAGGGCTCACATGCGTTTGTGGATCAGGTGACCCTTGTTCATGCTCTTTATTAGATACTATTTTTAGGGTGTCTGACTCACAGGGTATTGAGGAAAAACTTCATGAAGGCCAGGTTCTTCTTGGTCACAGGCCCAAGAGTGAGGCGAATCAGAAGAGTCGGGCAAGAAGCACATCAAAGCATAAGATGAAAAAGTTAAAGGGACCCAAGCCAGAAAGAGGGTAATAAAAAGGTCTCAGTTTCCTTATTTAATGATGCATTTCATCCATTCTGGTTGTTCATTTTCCCATTTTGTGCATTCTGCTGGGTGCCTGCTATGGCCAGGGGCTGTTCAGAGTACTAGGGATATAGTAGTGAGATCACAGACCAATTTTCTACCTTAATGTTCCCATGGGGACAAAGACAGGCAACACAACTAATGAACAATGGTAATACCATTGTAATCGGCAAATGTATAGCTAACCAGGTAAAGCCAGAAAAAGAAAACATTGTCCACAGGACTAAAAAGTGGGGGAGAAGACCTTTCTGACCAAAGGCTGGAGTTCAATAATGCCTTACGGACACAGGCGAAGGAGCACTTCAGAAGGAACAGTGGCCCCAGGCTGAGTGTATTGAGAAAAAAAAGGAGACGAGAGGTTAGAACATAGTGGGGAGGAAAAGGAGATAAAAACTGTCTTGCACTGGTGAAAACGGCTTGATTGATGAGTGCACAGTACAGTCCTGTAACCGAGTCTCTGCATCGCTGAAGGCAACCTCCAGTTCTCAGAAGTGTATAAATAGAGCCATTCTGCACAGCCTGGTAATCAGCGTCCTCACCTGAGGCTAACAGGCCTGGGGATTCACAGTGAACCTTAAAGAGATTTTTTTTTAAAACAAGGTCTCATTAGATGATCCTAGCTAGCCCTGAACTGTAGAGCAGGTTGGCTTCAAACTCATGGAGATCTACCTGCCACTGTCCCCTGAGTGCTAGGATTGAAGGTTGTGCCCAGCAGAATTTTATTTTCTTTTTTTCAGAGACAATGTTAATTGTGGCCTGCACCCAAAAGCTTATAAGACTAGACTAGGCAGGAACAGAGAAGAATGAAATAAATCAGCCATGAGAACCCAGTCCCCCCCCCTTTTTTTTTGAGACACGGTTTCTCTGTGTAGCCTTGGCCATCCTGGACTTGCTTTGTAGAACAGGCTGGCCTTGAACTCACAGAGCTCCACCTGCCTCTGCCTCTGGAGTGCTGAGATTACAGGCATGTGTCTCCATGCCCAGTTGAGAACCCAATCTCTTAAACATAGAGAAGTACTTCACTTCCACTGACAAATATGCTTCCTCCTACTTGCCATGATACAATCAGTCCCTTAAAATATCTTTAAAATTACATTTATTTATTTTTGGGGGGGGGAGCATACACACACACACATACACACTTTTGGGTGTTGATCCTCTCTCCACTATGTGAGACTCAGGGATAGAACTCAGTTATCAGGCTCTCAGGCTCCATGACAAGTGCCTTCACCCACTGAGTTCTCTCACTGGTTTTATAGTCAATCTTTTGGGGCCTCTCTCTTATACGGCTAGACACTTAGGTATAGAGAATTATTTCTCCACTGTAAAATAAAACCACAAGGGTTTTCCACAAAAAGCAATTCATCTGGAGTGCTGGAGGTCACAGGATGGATGAGGATGGTCAATGGAGGGCCATGTCCTGACCAAAGAAGTCAGCCACTACCCTGCTTCTGCTGATCTTGTCTTGAGGAAATGGAACCTCACACTGACACTTGGGAGTTAATCTGGATATATGGGGGGGGGGGGAGAATGACATCTATGAGGTTTAATCTCTTCCTGTTTTTGAATGCTGGCACGCCAACCAACCAACCCACAGGCAGGTGCTTTGTGGTTTCTACATTTATGAGAATCTCTGAGAGAGCTACGATTTAAAAGTATCAACAGCCCCACCCATCAGCATACACTTTTATGGGGAAAATCTGAGGGCCTGGCCACCTGCAATGTTCTTGGGTCTCAGGAGTCTGGAGGACAGGTTGCTTCTCTCTGCCTCACTTCTCCTGAGTTCCGACCTTGACCCAGGGCTCTGATTCCAGTGACGCCATCCTCTTTCCCCTTCATGTCCACCAGTGAGCCCTGTCTTACGGGGCTGGTACAGGTAGGATGCTGTGAACAGGCCATGGTATTAAGAAGCCTCTGAGAAAAAAGTGGGAGATGCTTCTTAGCACAGAGATATCTCCTTCCTGCCTTTTCTCAGGACTCTACTCTGCTCCTGCTAAATCCCCTCCACACTCAGGCCAGCCACAGCATGAAGATGCCTTGGCTTACAGTTACAGAAACCCAAATCAACCCAGATCAGAGAAAAGTAAATCCATCTGCTCCCACACCCAAGATACCCAAGGGAGGTACAGCTTCGTACTGGTTGGATTCCAATGCTATGGAATCTTCCTCAGCCCCTCCAGCATTAACTTTCTTTTCCTGTTGTCTTCATTCTTTGATGTGGCCAGAAACAAGTTGACCTACTTGGTCATTATTGTTGTTTCTCCTGAAGCATTTCTACTCAGACAAGGATCTAGCTGCCTGAGGGGGTTGTGATACTAGACAAGGCCTTGTGTTCCAGGGCATGGGTCACTGCTATGGAGACAGCCGGCTTCCATGTGCTCTAGAAGAGTGAGTGAATGGTCCAGAGAGCGCTGAGGGTACTCTGTGTGGTGGTTATATAGCTGTGGGATGTGGCACATTTGGAGAGGAGGGGTAATGGACAGTTAAACACATACTTTCTGTCTACATGTACACTAGACTCATGTCAGACTTCGTTGCCAAAGAGCATCCATTGTTCACCCAACTTCTGTAAAGTGGTAGATGCTTGTCAGTTCCAGTATTAGCATATTGTCATTGTAGAACAAACATGTCCAGTTTGGTACACTTTGAAGGGGTGTTTAAGACCAGGCTATTTCTCAATGCAGGCAATGAAAGGAGCTCTCTAGTTTTTGAACAACACTCCCATTCCCTCCTTGTGTAGAAGCACAGTGGAGATCTTGCCATAGCTGGTATCTTGTCCAACTGAACAGACATGTTCTTAAGCATCTGATAGCAGAGTGGTATCACCTTTCCATCTCCTTCATATTTTATGAATTTAAAATTATATTTATTTTTTATGCGTGGGGTCTTTTGCCTGTCTGTGCATTGTGTTCATGCCTACTGCCCTCAGAGGCCAGAAGAAGGCATTGGATCCCCTAAAGCAGGTTACAAATGGTTGTAAGCTGCCTTGTGGGTGCTGAGAACTGAACCTAGGTCCTCTGGAAGAGCAGCTAAACCAAGCCAGTGTTCTTAGCCACTGAGCTACCTCAGTAGCTGCAATACCCTACATTTTAAAGTTGAACCAGATCTCCAGGGAATCAAATTTCATGAAGTTCTTGTGCAGTCACACATGGAAGTTTGTGGTGAGAATGGGAGCAAACATTTCATTTAATATAGGCAAAAGTAGGACAATCTGTCCATACGGAGAACAATCCAAACTCACTGAAGGTAGGAGGATGAAAAGGGAGGTAACAACTAGTCCTTAGGGCACATTGGGGCTGGAGAGATGGCTCAGGGGTTAAGAGCACCAGATGCTCTTCCGAGGACCTGGCCAAAACCCACACCTACATGGCAGCTCACAACTGTCTGTGACTCCAGTTCCAGGGGATCTGACACCCTTACACAGACACATGCTGGCAAAACACAAATATACCTAAAATAAAAGTAAACAAATAATTTAAAAAGTGTGTTAAGCACCCAACTCTACATGGATTATTTCAATTGTTACAACATCTTGTGGGGCAGGATGTTGGCAGCATGTTTGTTCAGTGGGTCACCAGGTAAACACCCCTGTATGGGAGGCTTTATTACTGTCTCTCTGAGAGGCTAATCTGCCAAAGATCACATATGTAACAGATTGAGGTTTACACCTGGGAAGTGCAACCGTAAAGCCATGTTGACAATGCACTCATTCATAGCTTCCCTGATGGGTGATGTCCAATGCCTCCTACATATTGAGTTTGAACCTAGGTGCTCAAACAGTAACCACAGCTGTGAGCGATGGAAGGAAAAAATACATGACTCTCACATTCTAGAAGAGAAGAAATCCAGTAAGCTGGAAAGGTACATAAAATGTTATTTAAGTTGGGTGAGGTGGCTCACATTTTCAATGCCTGTACTTGGGAAGCTGAGGCAGGAGGATTTGCTTGAGTGTGTGGTCAGCTTGGGCTACAGACTGAAACCTTGTTCCAAAAGCACCTTATCCTCCCCAAAGGCCTAGAAGAGGTGTGTGTGTGTATGTGTGTGTGTGTGTGTGTGTGTGTGTGTGTGTACAATTCTGAATTAAGTGGTCAGTCTTGCTAAGAAAGGGATATTAAATAAATATCTAAGACACTTGGGAGCAAACCATACAGATATCTGAAAAAGCACAAGAAGTAGAGAAGACAACGATTGGACCTGAAGAAGGAGTGAGAGAAGTGTTCTAGGAACATCATGGATTCCAGTATCACTGAAGCTGAGTCTGACTGGGGTAGGAGTGTGACTGGGGCTCAAAGCTCTAGGAAACAGGGCCTAAAAAGGAAGTGGGACAGGTCTTGTTAAGACCTTGGAAATGGCAGGGCTTGGTCTTTTACTTGGGTACAATGTAGTGATTCGGGCTGGGCCAGAAGAAAAATTCTGTCGAGAAGAGGCTGCAAAGGGCAAGGAAGCCTTTTAAGAGACACTGCAGTGACCCAGGCAGAGGTTTGGGTAGTTTGTCCTGGTGCGCACTAGAGACGTGGCAAGCACTTAAGTCTAAGTTTATTGTGAAACCAGAGTGGAAAGATTGGCCAACAGGTGTGTACGGAAGCAACCAGTTGAGTGATGCTCTGTGTCTTTTGGCCTAAGCCACTAACACTGGAAATCGGTGACATGAGAGGCAGTCAGGGGTCCACAGGAACGGTATGATTTTGTTTTGTTTTGTTTTTCATTGTGAAAAAGTCTTTAAGAAAAAATTTTTTAACAAGTTTAACTTAGCAAAAATACATATCCAAAAGGAAATCACCGTACAAAGAAAGCTTGAAGTCAAGGCCTCACCAATTTCTACAGTGTTAGAATTGTGTCTCAATCCTCAAAACTAACTTTTAAAAAGCTTAAACTTAACCTAAAGATATTAAATGGAAATACAAACTAGACTGAACATGAGAAATGCTTCTCTTTTCACCTTTGAGTTGTCCAAACAAGTACACATCCTCAGCGTGTCCACTGTGGTGGGTTTAAAGACCCACTCAACATACTTAAAACTACTTACCTCAGATGACATCACTCTTAAGTATACTACCAAAAATGCTGAGAAGAGCAGAATGAAGTAATTTTAGTTTACTTGGTATTCCATGCTAGAAGAAAAGTTTTTATGAGAAACCCTGAAGAGCTATTTTTTTTTTTTAATCCAGATTTCACAAACTCATGGTGAAAAGTGGGTCCTTCAGCTTTTTTAGAGTTATAAATTGCTCTTGCCTGCTGTATGGGCTACCTGTGACATTTTTTGACTGGAACATGTTCCAACAATAAAAATCATATCCACCCATGTTGTTCTGAGCACCGTAGCTGGCCCTGTGACAGCCATTCACTGACTGGCTTTCCAGGTCACTGGAAGTTGCCTAGGCAAGTGCCCCTCCCTTGGCCTGTATTACATGTATTGCCCGGCTGCTATCAGCCCCATTGCTTGCCCCTGTCATTGAATTCAGGGAGAGTTCTGTGTATCTGTGCTGCATGTTGGCCCTGCCCTTCTACACAGCTGCCACTGCTTCTTCATGGGTGGGAGACTCAACATCAGCTTCTCCCGCCATTCTTCCATCAGGGCCAACCTCAATATGAACTCTCACAGGGCTGAGTGGAGAGAAGTTGTAAATGTTGTTCTCCGTTGCTTTGTAGGACAGCCCTCTCATGTGGTCACAGTGGCTGGTGGCACTCTGCACTGTGAACTTGCTGTCTCCATATCTGTTGTCATAGATTCATGAGAGACAGTAGCTGAGGTCTCTCCCGAACAGTGGTGAAGCCATAGCCATCACTGAGGCCACTGTATTCTTCAGAGCCCCCGTAGCCTGCACAACAGGCACCTATCCTATCCAGGATCTCATCCTATCTAGGCTTGCCTGTTTCACAATGCCAGTGTATCTCCAGGCTGTGCCAGGCCGGTCATAGGGCCCCGGCCTCTGCATAGACAGAAACTTCAGAGGTTGTTCTGAGTATGAGCCAACTTCTTCCTGACAGGTCTTGAACATTTCAATATACCTGTGCCCTCTTCTCTCCTTTTGCTTCCCTAGCACTTTCTCAGCTAACTCTTGTGAGGCAAACTGAATGAAGGCCTTGCCTGTAATCTTGCCCTCTGGGTTCACAGGTAATGGGATCCTGTTTGGCACAATTTCCATCCCTAAGAAGAACTGAATGATTTCTTCCTTTATGCATCCACATGGGAGTCCCCGAAGCCTCACGAAGCCATCATTGGCACAGTCAGTGCTGTTTGGACCACTGTGCTCTAACACCCAATCCATCTCAGTTCTGTGTGACTTGAACACCTCAATACAGTGGTGTCTCATGCTTTCCCTGTCTTTTTTTTTTTTTTCAGAGCCAGTTTTACAATGTCATCATCTGACCCAAGTTCAACAAAAGCCTTGCCACTCTGCCTGCCTTCTCTTGTATAAATGAAGTGAACACTTGAGACCTGGTCATGAACATGTGCAGTCAGAGAGGAAGTTTTGTATGTCCTCTTTTGAGCAGTATGGGGGTAGGCCATGGAGTTTGACCATGTAGCCTTTACCTCCCCTAGGACCCGGCATCATGGACAGTTGACAGAGCTGATGTCACAGCAATTTTTTGTAGCTTAAAGAAGCACCACAGATGCCTTCTGTAGCAAACACTTATGAAGGTAACAAGTGCAACACAGGAGGAAGGCAGAAGTAACTTCTATTTTCAATAAGGGATGTGGCTTACGAGCCCCAACTCTACCCAATGCCTTAAAAATGAAGAGGGCTCAGGAGAAAGTCCAGGTGCATCTTCCTTTTATCCTCAGCCTTCAGGAAGACAAGGCACAGTCCTCCTTCCATGACGGAGCCAGAAGCGTGTGCTTTTGTTTTTAAGTGGGAAGGGTCATGAAGGCTCAGTTTAGAATGTTTAATTAGAGATACCTATTAGACCTCTTTGTAGGTGGATATAGCTACTTTGTAGGTTCTTCTTTCTTCCACCCTTCTCCATCCCCCTTTTGTCTTCCCTTTCAACCCCTTAACACTAGATATGAGAGAAAAAAGGATAAAGAGGAAAGGAAAGAGATCCCTGAATAAAGTCAGGGGTCAGAGAGAGGGTGTCATTATTGTTAGGCTAATTAACAAACTCTAGCCAACATCAATCAATGAGCAACCAATGGCAACCCACACACCTTTCTCAGGAGCCCAGCATTTATACAACTTCTGAAAAGTCCCAAGAATTCCAAATGTCACAAAAATCACAGAAACTATCTGCAGCTGGCAAAATCACACCACTGTCAGAGCACGAGGCAAATCATAGTCAGCTGCTTCAAAGCACCTGCATATCCCCACACCTAGAGTTAAAATGAGAACATATTCTTATAACATTTCTGTGTTTTTAAGAAAACCAAAATTCTTACTACATACCTCCAAAGGTGATGCTGATGGACAGGCTGAGAGTTCAGAAGAGAGGTCCTTCAATGCTGAAGTTCACAGTCAAGCAGATATACTCTACTTCAGGACAACTGAAGACATCAAGGCACATGTGACTTTGGGAAAATGATGACAAAAAATATACTAGGTTTAAAAAGTGTCAGATTTAAATTTTTATCCTTATTCTGCTACCCCCTTCTTACTTTTCCTTTCTCCATATATCCTCCTGGCTTTTTACCCACATGCACAGATAATTGCATAATGTTCTACCCTGTTTGCTTGCCAGGAACACACTACTATTTCCTACATGTTTCCTACAGTGTTTTTAGAGGATTTAAAAGGCTGACAAAATGCTGGGCACAAACTAGGCTGGAAACACAAAGTTGGAAAATCCTGCATAGCTTGGTGACCCACGGTAAGCTACAAGCCTACCATAATCTTTGGGGGCATGTTCAGAAGACTGAACTACCATGTGAATGGCGGCACAGCAGGGAGAGACATTCTAGAAACAGGGATCTGTGAAAAGGCTCTAGGAGGCAAAGAAAAGCACACGCTATGGTAAAATGAAAAAAAAAAAAAATGCCCCTCCCCGAAAGGGTTATCTGTTTGAACATTGCTTCCTAACTGGCAGCGCTAATTTGGAAGGTTGGAAAGCCTTCAGGTCACCAGTTCTCAACCCGTGGGTCGTGACCCCCTTGGCAAACCTCTGTCTCCAAAACTATTTACATCACGGTCCACAACAGCAGCAACATCACAGTTATAAAATGCATGAAAATAATTTTATGGCTGGGGTGACCATGGCATGAGGAACTGTACTAAAGGGCTGAAGCAGAAGGAAGGTTGAGAACCACTGCTTTAGGAGGTGGCGTAGCTGAAGGAAGTGGGTTGCTGGAGTAGAGAGGTAAAAGTTAAGTATGCCTGTTTCCTGCCCCTCTTCCCCAGCCACCTGCGCCACTATCTCCTGCCTCTGTGGATGAAGGCCTCCAGGCCTCAGGCCTTCCCCTACAGGTCTACTGTGACCTGTAGACCATGAGCCAAAATCAACCCTTCCTCCTTTAAATTGCCTCTGCCAGGTGTTTGATCACAGTAATCAGCGAAGTTAAACAGCTGGGCCATCTATTACAACTGACAATTAAATAGGAATTAACTTATTCAATCTCTGCACACACACAAATACACAAAAACCCTTTAGATGTGCAGAAGCACAAGTAGAGCCTTTCTCTGAGATTCTGCACCAAAAAGGGATCATCCATACAGAAAATGTTGATCTTAGTGCAGCCCAAACATTTCAGTGGTTTAAAAAGAGTTTAATTTGGGCCTCCGAGTACACAAAAACTCCGTCGGGATCTGATTTAACCTCTCACCGACACAGCGTGCTTTTAATTTTACAGAAAAGGTTAGGGCTGTCAAGAAGGCAGGCACCTGGTCATTTAGTCACCTGCTTTGCTTTCTAAAACTTGAGTAAGAATCATCCTTCCCTTCAAAGATGCCAGAAAAACAGCCCCTTGCACACGAGCACCCGTCGCTGACAACGCCTCCGTAAGCTGGCTTATATTTCCTCTCTCATTCACCATTCTGTAGGTGCAAAGAATTATTTATGAGGGGGAAAAAAAAGTACTGCGGATAAAAATTGGTCCAGGGCTCCCGGCTTTGGATCTGGATGGTTGTGTTTCCTTCTAGGACCGGCAGGAGGAGCACCAGGCAAGGCTTGGAGACAGCGCCTCCCCCACAGTCTCCTAGCCTCTCTTGCCCAACTTCCCCCTAGCCACAGCTTCAACTAAAAGTGGCCATTGACCTTTCAAGTTTTTGAGCAGTGATGCAACAGAATAGTATTTCAAAGAAAAATGGTTATCGAAATTTTGAATCCGGTTTTCCCATGAGCGTTAATTGCTTGTTTTCCTAGTTTTTTGTGTTTTTAAAGTAGGTCACATTTAAAATGGGTCACGTTTCAGGGGCTAGTGTGCCTGAATGAAGGCTCAGAGGCCATGTGGCCTCCTAGAGTGCAAGGTGAGTGTCCCAATAAGAAGTGCCTGGGATCCATCCGTACTCAGGGTCCCCGGCTTTGCAGGGCATCACAGAGACAAACGCACAGGGCTCCATCACCCCGCACCCCAACAGGGCACAGGTAAGGGCGCCCCCCTGCAGGCCAAGCAGGTGGGCCGAGTGGGCCTCTCGGGGCCTCCGGAAGGATGCATTGGAGTTGAGCAGCGGAGGAAGGGAGGAGCTGGGCAAGGCTGGTGCGGGGGATGACCGGCCGGAGCTCCAAGGGGAGGGACTGAGAGCAGTGCGCGCTGCTTTAAGGAGACGCTCGTCCCCTCTCTGCCTTCTAGGACGCTGGCGGAGGGGACGGCCCCTAGTTCGCCTCCTGAGGTCCCCGGGAATGGTCGGGGACTTGGGCAGTGGCCTGCTTGCTCCGGCTCTGCGTGTCTGAGAGAGGGAGGGACCGATTTCTGGGCCCCGCCCTCTCCCTTCCCCTCCCATCCCCTCCCCTCCCGCCGGTCTTGCACCCTGCGCTGAGGAGGGTCGCGTCTGGCAGCCGCACGGTGGTGTGGATGGAGTCCCCCCCCATCTCCGGCGGGCCGGACCGAGGGGCTGCTGCTCTTCGCGGGCCTCAGCTGGGGCGGACGGGGGCAGGCACCGGCCGCCTAACGGGCACTGCCTGGGGACTCGTACCTCTTGCCCCCGAGCGCCCCGGGGTGCAGGGTCAGGAGGAGGGCGGAGTCCCAGGCTCGCACCCCGCAGCCGCCGGCACCCGCACCGGCTCTCGGGCCGGCTCCCTTGAAGCCTGCGCATTAGCGCCCGAGCCTCTTTAAAGCGCTGGCGGGGGCTGCGGTCACGTGAGGCGGATTCCTGGAAAGTTCCTGGAAAGCGGCCTCCGCAGCGGCCGGGCGGGGCGCGCGGGAGGCGGGAGGCGGGCAGCGAGGGAGGCGCGTCCGGCTGGGAAGTCGCGCGCACCCTCGGCTCCGGGGACAGACGGTTAACTCTTGCCAAGTCTAGCCGCCCGCCGCCGCCGCGGCTCGCGGGCCTTGGGCTTCCCCCTGAAGCATGAGCCTTTCGGCCCGCAGCCGCCAACGCCGCTCGGGTCGCGGACGGTGCGCGCCGGGGCGCCGGGCGCGTGGCCTCAGCAGCCCCTGCGCCCCGAGCCCGGAAGCTTGCGGCAGGTACCGCTCGCGAACGCCCGGAGGTCCCGCCGGGGGAGGGGGGGCAGGGGCCGGGGAGGGCCGCGGGGTGCGAGCGCGGGAGCGGCGGAGCGCCTGGGCTCCCGCCGTGCACGGCGCTCGGGGAGAGTTCAAGTCCGAGCTCTGCTCCATCCGGACTCCGCTGCCTCCTCTCCCGGGTCGCTCCCCGGCCTCGGGAAGGCTTCGGATCACCCCGCCCCCGGACAACTGCTCTCCAAATTTATAATCCCAATAACCTGATCTCGCGCTCCTCCCCGCCAGCCTCCGCCCTGGCTCCCCCCACCCCCACGCCTTCTCTCTCGCCCATCTCCTCCGCCGCGGCTGGAGGGAAACCCGGCACTCGGGAGTAGGGGTGTCTGCCTGGGGCGCGGGGGCGGCGAGGCGACGGTCCCCGGGATTTCTGTCTGCCTTGGGCGCAGAAAAAAGAAAAAGTCCGGCCGCTGCTTCTCCCGGGCTCATAGCCGGTTGCATCCCCGGGGCATCACGGTCCGCGCAGAATAAACGTCAGCCGGGGAGCTCAGACAGACAGCCCGGCTCCCCCGCCCCATGTCCGCTGGGGAGGCTGTCTGCCGGCCGAGGCGGCGGAGGTAAGACCTCGGGGTCGGCGGATGGCGCGTCCCGCCGCGGCGGGCTCGGCCCGGGCCTCGGCTGGAGCCCCGGCGGGGGCCGCGCGCTCCGGCCGATTCCTCGACAGCGCCCGTGGCTGCCGGAGCCGCGGTCCGCCTTTCGGGACGCCCGCCGCTGCGCCCCCCGGAGCTCCGGGGCTCGCCCTCCGCCGAGCGGCGGGCTCAGCGCAGCACCCTCGGCTGGCGACCCGGGAGCCCTGCGGCGCTTTGGGGCGTGGAACCGGGTTTTGCCGGATGCATCCTCCCGAGGGCCCTGGGGCTGTTGAAAGTGTAGGATGGAAACGCCGTGCGCAGGGAACTGCCGTGTTCTTCGCGTTTATTGTGGGTTTTGTTTTGTTTTGTTTTTTTTTTTTCACCACTTGCCCCCACAGAGGCCTATCCCGACCCGCAGGTGACTGTTTCCTAGGCTGCCTGTGTGTGGTTCCTGCGAGCGGTTCTTGGGCGGGAAAACACCTTGTTTCCCCTCCCCCTGCCTCGCCCCTCACCCCTCCACCCGGGCGGCTCGGGTGTTTTGGATCTCTGCTCTTCTCCCCCGTCTTTCCCCCCCGGAGCCGGGCAGGGCGTTGACTGGATGCCTGGGGTTAAATGGTACAGAAGCACGCAGGCGGAGGAGTCCCTGGGATTTTCCACGTGTCTTTTCTTCCCCGCCCCCACTTCGGCCTTAGGGGTCCAGTGCAGACTGACCCAATCTCTGCCCCATTGTTTCTTCCCAGGGGATCTGTGGGTGACGGTGTCTGCGAGAGACTTTGCCACACCATTCTGCCGGGATTTGGAGAGAGAGACCCAGCGGCTTCCAGTCCCCTCCCCCTCCGCCACCATTTCGGACACCCCGCACGGACTCGTCCTGGGGTACCCCGTGACTTCCAGGAAGGGCGAGAGGTACTCCGGCCCCAGCTCGGGCGACCACCTGTCTCTGACGTGTTGACTCATCTCCCATGACCCTGCGGTGCCTGGAGACGTCCAGGAATGGCTCGGACAGGACGCGGAGCCACTGGGGGACCGCAGGGCCGGCCGAGGAACCGTCCCCAGAGGCGGCACGGCTGGCGAAGGCCCTGCGCGAGCTGAGCCAGACAGGTAGGGAGCGGGCGGCTGGCAGGGGTGTGAGATGGGGCGCCCCCCCCCAGGCGGCGGTGGAGAGGACGGCTGGGACGCGGGCGGGGGGGGGGCACCGGGATAACTGCGTCTCCTCGCGTCCGGGAGCGCAGGGAGGGGTGCCCGCCGCCTCGGCTTAGGTGCCGACCGCAGCCAAGCGGAGGGGCGCCGAGGCTCAGGCTCCTGGGGAAGCGGTGTCCCCGGGCGGTGGACCCTACGCTGCTTGCGGCCGGGGCTCCGGGGCCAGCGCCGCAGTTCGAGCCCGCGTGGGGGAAAAGCAGCCGGTGCCTCCCGAGGGCCGCGCCGCCTCCGGTCTGGGCTGCGAGCGCCCCGGGTGCCCCCGCCGCCGCCGCGGCAGCCCGGGCCGACTCCCGAGAGTCCCAGACAGCGGGACAGCCCGGCCCGGCGCAGCCCGCGAGGCTCCTGCCCGGACGGCCTCCAGGTACCGCCTGGGTCAGGCCCGCCCTGCGCATTGCGGCAGTGGTTCCCTGCAGCCGAAGGAAAAGGGGGATATATACATACATATATATATATATATATATATATATTCCCATTTATATATATATGTATAATTTTTCTCCCAATAGCTCGAAAACAATTTGCGTTTTAAAGTCTAGCTTCTGAAAGCTTACCTTTGAGGCAAGACAACTTTTGGTAGCCGTAGATCTTGGGAGAGGAAAAAAAGTTCGAGTCTTTCCTTTGGCCCTCAGCTTTCCTTCCTCGGGGAAGTTTCTCTGTGATTTGGGGGGGGGGGGGAGTCGGCCGAAATAGAGGGACACATTGTTTAAACTTATTAAACCGAGTGTCTTGAGTCACTTTTGTAAGTGACCTGCAGAACATGGGCCAAGACAATCAAACGGAGATTTCAGAGAACAGGGTTGTAATACGGTTTGAACCGGGGCAAAGTCCGGAATAATACAGTGGAGGTTATAAACGTAGTATGCCGGATGTCTAAGCGCGCCCCCCCCCCCCCGCCGAAACTTAGCTAGCTGTAATCAAAGCAGTGGTGCTTTCTAGGGCTCTTGACAGAGGCTACATATTACAGGTGCCCAGGGAGCAGCTCTGGGAGCTACCAGCCATTTGAAAAAGTTGCTTTTGTTAGAATTTCTGGAGATGAGTTTTCCACTTTCCCCCCTAAATGTTTAATATTTATCATTTACTTAGGTTTTTGTTTCAATTAAACTGCGTTGAATCTTTTCGGGGGTGGGAAGCCAACATTTCTATCATATTGCAAAAGTTCTTTCTTTTGGCTCATTAGAAGAAAATCTTAACATAGTTTAAAGAAGAGCTACAAAAAATCTCTTTTAAAAGAAAAACTTTGGTTTACTTAATGGACTTAAGTTTTTATTAAATGTCTACCAAAAGATTTGTAGTGGGCCCTGGTAAACTTTTACTCACAAGCATTTTTTAAAAATAGGTATAACAAGAAAAATTAGTTGAGCATGGTGGTGCAGGCGTGTAAATCCCAGGACTTGGAAGGTGAATGCAGAAAAGCCAGAAGTTCAAGGTTATCCCTGGTTACAAAGTAAAATTGAGGCCAGCCTATGCTACATGAGGCCCTGCCTCAAAACAAAACAACCAGAAAAATTACTGCCAAGTGCAGCCCATAGGCTAAAAATTCCTCTAATAACGATTTCACTTTCTTTTCTTTTTCTTTTTGAACCAAAACCCCCAGGATGGTACTGGGGAAGTATGACTGTTAATGAAGCCAAAGAGAAATTAAAAGAGGCGCCAGAAGGAACTTTCTTGATTAGAGATAGCTCACATTCAGACTACCTACTAACCATATCTGTAAAGACGTCAGCTGGACCGACTAACCTGCGGATTGAGTACCAAGATGGGAAATTCAGATTGGATTCTATCATATGTGTCAAGTCCAAGCTAAAACAGTTTGACAGCGTGGTTCATCTGATTGACTACTATGTTCAGATGTGCAAGGATAAACGGACAGGCCCGGAAGCCCCTCGAAATGGGACTGTTCACCTGTATCTGACCAAACCCCTGTACACATCAGCACCAACTCTGCAGCATTTCTGTCGACTCACCATTAACAAATGTACCGGTACCATCTGGGGACTGCCTTTACCAACGAGACTAAAAGATTACTTGGAAGAGTATAAATTCCAGGTATAAGTACTTCTCTTTTTAAAACACATGCCTCATATAGAGTATCTCCGAATGCAGCTATGTAAAAGAGAACCCGGAGGCCCTCCTCCTCCGGATAACAGCGCAGAATCTTTTCTTAAGGACACGTGAGCTCAAATCTAATTTAAAGGTTTGAAGATGTAACTAGGTATTTTAAAGTTCCCCCCTAGCTAGTTTCAGCTGAACGACGCTTCCTTTCCTATGGCTGATCAAGACCAAATGGCCCTTTTAAGTTAAAAAACAAAATGTCCCAAGGAAAGGCGAGGAAATATTCCTATCAGAATGACTTGCCTTTTTTGGGTTCCTATGCACTGGGTCAGAAGTCCAAGCTCCATAGGAGAGAAAGAGTCCCGTGTGGGTTGCTGAAGGAAGAAAAGACCCTGGCTGTCCCAGGCTTAGCTACACTTCTAGATGCCTGGCGATTAGTCTGTGTTAGAACATGATATATTTTGCATTCTGATGTATCTAGTAGGAGTTTTGTTAAACTGATCATGCTCGTATTTAATCCCTCATTTTATGCAATTAACCAAATCAACCAAAACAAAAAAAGTCACCGTGAGATCCTGTATTTGTCTTTTTACTACATGTATGAACTTCCCCGTGAATAGTACTGTAGTAATCCATTTCAAGGCAGCCTTACTTCAGAAATATTTCACACTGGTGCAAACAGAAAAGACTTCATTCTTTTCCTTTAAGGCTAAAGACAAGAATGTCATGCTATACAGGTGCAACTCAATCCTCGATAATAAAAACCGAGGTAGATGGACACATTTGACCCCTTGACGCAGCTGTGAGTCCTAACCTCTTGCCATTGACTTTTTTGAAAATGGCTTCAGAAGTTTCCTAGTTGTCCTTGAATTGTCTGACCACGGGCATCAACAGCTGTCTCCCTTCTACCATGTAGAATACTACGACTTACTTTTCTTCCAGACATAGGGGGGTACTTGCCTGTTTTTCAAAGTGTTTATTTACTGCTGTTACTATTTGATTAGAATGTATTAAATAATAATAAAAACCTCTGACTTTTACAAGTTGCACTTATTACTTAAGTTGTAGCTTTCCATGGTAATAAAAGGTCGTCATAAAAACTTATATCAAGTGAAATAAACTAAGCAATCAGCACAGGGTAGAACATTAACTCTTGCCTCCAAATAAGGCTGCACCTGCCCCTTCCTGCTTTAGAAAGCATAGTTTACAAACTAGGTATTGTCAGCCTGGTCATGTGCAAGTTGGATGAGCACAATCCAAAATGCCTTCCAGGTTTTGAAAAGAAATGGTTTAGAAATGATAAATGTCACGGTCTGATCTTTAACAAGTTGAACAGACACAATACTAAATAAAAATTAGAAGCTTTATGGCCACACAGTCTCATGACTGCGCCATCCTTCCTGAGTCTAGACACCATTCTTGTCACCTTTTACATTTTTCCTGCCAGGCCATAAACCACAGGGACTCAGGTGAAAGGTGAACCTGGGGTATCATGTGTACTCTGAACGAGTAGAAAACTATAAAGTACAGAATAATAGAATATGCTTCTCACATGTCTTACTTTGTAGTTTTCGAAGTCCTCAGTTTTGCCACCGGAAGGAGATATTACGCCTATCCAAATGCAAAGGATTGCTGGGTATAGCTTAAGGAGAGCCTAATGTTTTAAGAAGAACTAGTTCCGGTCAGTGGCGGGGCAATCACCTTTTCATTAGGAAATTTAGATGCTGTTTTTCACTTCTCCCTTTCACACACTGATATTTTTCCCTGGTAGAAGGCTTGATTCCCAGTAAAACTCACGTGATGGACAGCAAGGGGCTTGGTGGAATCCCCTCTCAGGTGTGCTGTCATTTCTCGGACACTGGGAGTGAGGAGGCAGGCATGAGTGCTTGTGGAGCTACGACAAGTTCCACATTACTGCACCAAGTGACCTGCAGTTGGGGACAGCCCAGGCGTCCACACTGGGCTGTGAAACTGATTGTCATATCTTTCCAATCCTCTTGATTCCAAGGAAGTTGATAAGCATCGGGACTGGGTTTTTGCTTTACAGTTTCTAATATTTATTGAGTTCCTTGTGTGCCAGCTTCGTACTTGGTACCTTATCCGTATTATCTCACTTGATCCTCACAAGGACTGAAAGATCAAAGTACAGTGCTTACAGGAGGTGAATATTTCTACCCGATCCAGCTAACAAGTTAGAGCAGGCTATAATAGCAACCCTCAGCCTTTTTACTGTTGTCTCAACCAGACTAGCGCAGCTATCTTAATTAGTGTTGTGCGCTCTCTGTGGGGAGAGCTCGATAGTCGGTTTTTTAGAAATTATTTATTTGTGCATGTGGGTATGTGTACATGTGTGCCACGTCATGTATGTGGAAGGTAGAGGACAGCCTGGAGGACGTTCTCTCCTTTCACCGTGTGTCCCGAGGATCGAACTCAGGTTCCCAGGCTTGCCGGCAAGAACCTTGCCCACTGAGACATCTTGCCAGTCCTCCAGTGAGTCTTTTTCCTTGAACACCTTGAAAGGGGAGCTTATAGTGAGTGGTGAAGGAGTAAGAGGGGAGGAAGTTTACCCCTTTCCTGGGTGTCTGCTAGACGATGTGCGTTACCATTGATTGCCCCATTTTACAACAGAAGCAAAGATGCATTCAACTAAATTATCCTCAACAGAGGCTGGAAAATTTTTTCAGTGTTGTCTTTCTTTGTGGGCAGATGTGTAGCGTAAGTAAGGAGATTATTATTGGTGTTTTAATGGTTGCTGTTATTATGGAGTGTCCTGGGTAGGATTTGTCTATTCCTTCAGGTTTAAATGGCCGCTGTGAGTTTCTGTTTGGGGTGAGCAGAGGGTAGGAGTGCATGTCATTCCTCTTAACAGTGGCCATGACAGCTGCTTTGTAGGGATGGGGCTCTGGCTTGTATGAGCTTGGAGGTCTTCGCTTACTGTTGTCAGCATGAAAGGTTGACCTCATCGTAATTACACAATCTGAATAGGTGACAGAAAAGGGACTGTTGGTTGTTCCACGCTGTTTATTTTCTTGGGAAGAGTTTCCCTTGCTTTTAGAAAATTGTACCCTGCTTGGCGGAGGATAGGAGACAGAGACGTCATCAAGTCCAAGGGATGGAATGTCCTGAGAGCAGACTGTGCCCTTCTGGTTGTGGGTTTGGGCCCAGGGCAGGAGGGGGTGAGTGGCTGTGGATCTAACAGCTGGGCTGAAGCCTCACTCCCAGTCGTCCTGTCCATCTTCTGGTCCTTTCCACCCTCCCAGTGAAAGAATGTGGCTCTGGGCCTGTCATTCCCTCAGAGGCCTGTATTCTTCTCGTCCAGTTGTTAACTCCCTAGAATCCTGGAGTTTGGAACACACTATTTGTATCACGTAGTTTAGGTCCTTTATGTTTACAAGAACTTTCAGATTCAGGGGTTACACTTCTGCCTGTGCCATAGCCAGCAAACAGGCAGCATCCAGACATAGACCTTAGGTTCCATATCCACAAAAGTGCCACGCTTCTGCCCTTGTTAAAAACTGCCTCTGCTCTTCTTTGCTGCAGTTAACATAATGTTCTCCCTCTGACATGCAACATCAGGCTTTGGAATAACATCGCAGTGGGGATTGCTTTCAGTTCTTGGCTCCTTCAGCCCCATGCTCAAGGATTAGCTCCTCTGCTTGGTTTCAGCATGTCTTGATCCACTGTAGAGTTCTGCATTAATTTGCATTCCTCTGTCTTTTTTTTTTTTTTTTTTTTTTTTTTTTTTTTTTTTTTTTTTTTTTTAGTTTTGGAGAATGAACACAGGGCTTTCCTCAAGCATGCTTGGCAAGTGTTCTGTGAGTCCATCTCGATGCTTCTAATCTGTCTGCTGCTTTACAACCACATCCTTGCTGTCTGGTGATCTCATGATACCTCTGCCAGATGTAACCCACACATGCCCAGGTGACTGTCCACACCTCTGGGTCCACCAGTAGATAGACTCTGTTTTGGCTTTTGACCCCTCTTGGACAGTTAACTTGACTGTCTTGTTTTCTTATCACAATGCCGTCCTTTTAGCCTATTAGATAAATACTTGGTGGCTGTATTATGGGCCGTGAAGGCGGGAAACAGCAGTCTACTTGAATTAAGTAATTGACAGATTTAGGGTCCTTAGGGTTAAATCTGTCTCCGTTTCTCTTTAGCTCCCTCCAGGATTTAAAATCAAAGCCAGTCTGTGACACCACACGACACACTTTTTTTTTTCCTTTTACTTGTTTACTTAAAGAATCAGAGGCTCCTTTTCCACTAGCTTGTGCTATGTTGGGAAGGAAGAAAGGTTTGTTGCCTAGAGCGATCCTTCTAGTTTGGTTTGCATCTTCTCATCTTCACCTGCCTTTTAAGATTTTCTCCAGTTTTTCCTCTTAGTGGCTTCAGTCTAAGTCATCTAACCTCACACTAAGCCTAAGTGACAGCTGTTGCTAGCATCAGCCCCTAACCGCGTCCCTGTCATCCCAAATGCTTGGCTAGTAGGTCAGCTAAAAGCAGAAGTGCGATGTCTTCCTACCCCTTCCCCAGCTCTGTCCACAAGGGAGGTCAGACCTGCAAGGGGACTCGCTTCAATAAACATTTACTGAGCCATAAAAATAAAACCGCTTTTATAGACAACTCTCACTTTGAACTCCATTCTTCACTTAGAGAAAACAGGGTTGCCCTAGAGCAGGAGCCCAGTTTGTAATGGATTACAGCGCTTCTGTGGCCTTGTCCCAGCGAGGAACAGAGGGAAGGCCAGGCCAAGCCAAGAGTCTTGGTGAGAGCTAAGAAAACAACGCCAGCTGCCTCCCTCTTCTGTCTAGGCGTGAGTCCCTCTCAGGGAGCCCCTTTGCACCAGAGAAATGAGACATTTGCTGGCTAATGAACGCATCAGAGGACTTCATAGACTTTCCTAGACTGTCCCAGTTTCCAGTCATGTTAAGATAAAAAGATAGCCTTTTTGCCAAATGGTTTTCCCCTTCTGTTCTTTCAGCAGCCCTTTTCCTGTTTAGATTCTGATCTTGTGTCGCTGTGATCTTTCTTCATCTTTCAGGAAAACCCTCCTCTCCATGTCATTTCTGCCCAGGGAAGCTGTTTTCCCGACTTGACTTTGCTACCTGAATGAACTGTGCTCCAGTTGGCTTCCCGCAGAACGTCTTTTCTCTGTATCTCAAAGTAGCAGGCGTTAATTCTGGATTTGGTCAGAAGCTGTGTTTGTGTTTTGCATTCTTTATTTACTTACCTGTTCTATGGTAATAAAGAACAGAGAAAGGGGGATAAGATAAACCCATGAAACTGGCCAGTCAGTAGTTTTCAAGTTTCTGCTTCCTCTCCATTCATTCTCATTTACTGAAACCACTGAGAAACAGCTTCTTATTCTTTTGGCCCTTCATATTTAAGGAAAAATTAAATTGGAAAAAATAAAGGGACAATGCCTCACTGACATGATGAGGGGCTCTCCTGAGTCCGTCTGTCATTAGGTACCATGTCAGCTCTCACAAGTCTATGGCCATCTTATTTCTAGCTTCCTTTATCCCAATCCTATTTCTTAAAGTGCGGTAGGCATGAGCAATTTTAGGAGGAAAATAAATTCTTCTGAGACAGGATCTTAGGTATCCTAGGCTCAAACTTCCTGTATAACTAAGGGTGTACCGAACTGCTCCTCCTGCCTGCACTGGTCGGTTGCTTGGGTCACAGGTGTGTGCCAGCAAGCCTGGTTAAACGCAGCGCTGGGGAGAGAAGCCAGGGCTTGGGGCACTGCAGGCAAGTACCCTACCAACTTTCCCAGAAGTGGGAATTATTTTACTAAAGCGGTGCTCCACTTTTACATTGGGGAAGGTTGTCTCTTACCAGTAGAGCAGGGACATTCAGATTCAGCATCTTTCCCTTATCAGTTCAGTGTTATCTGTAGGGTTTGGAGTTGGGGTGAATGAACAGCCTTCCTGTCTTTGTTTTTTTTTTTTTGTTTTTTTTTTTTTGTCTTTGTTTATTTTTTAAAGATGTATTTTATTTTTACTTATATGTATATGTGTGTGTTTATCTCTGTGTGTGTGGA